CGGGCTCAGGCTTTCCCGGCAAGGGCCCTCGCTGGATAGCTTCTGGCCTTTCTTGCAGCTGCTCTTCGAAAAGTATCTGTGCGCACCGCTACTGCATCGTGCATATCATTTACATTGATAATCAGAGTTGATGTAGAATCGATTATATCAGTACGACTATATCAGTAAAGCCCGATGGTTTATATGTTGATGACAAGCCTATTTTTACGGTCTCCGCGATGGACAAGATCTTTCAATTTCATACCGTGCTCACGATGAATCTGCCTTATGTCATTTGTCCGAACAGCGCTTTCTCTAAGCTTGATCGTGGTGTAGCAGCGGCCAAGATAGGCATGGGTGGGCGCTTTAAAAAAGTGCCCCTGTTGCCCGCGGACACAATCATCGATCTTAACCGTCAAATCAGGGTAAGAAATGCAGCCGATCCCCTGTCTTTGGTACTTTCTTGCATCGGTTGTGCTTTCTAAACTTTCTTCTGTGTTATCTTCTAACATTCGAACAGAATGATAACAATCCTCACAAGGTGGATTTGGGCGTTGGTGCCTATCGAGACAGCTCGGGTAAGCCCTACGTCCTGGACGTGGTAAAAGCCGCGGAGGCCCGAGTAGTCGCTGACACCTCCTACAATCATGAGTACGTTCCTATCGAGGGCTGGGCGCCTTTCAGACTGGCGAGCCAGAAAATTCTATTTGGACCTGGGCATCCAGTCATGGCTGCAGGTTGTGTGGCCACCGTCCAGGCGTTGTCGGGAACGGGAGCATTGCGAGTAGGCTTCGAGTTTCTTCGGCGCATGATCCCGGACCCCGTAGTCTACCTGCCGAGCCACACCTGGGGCAATCACTTGAAAGTCTTGCAGGAAAGTGGCTTTGAGGACGTGAGGAAGTATCGGTACTACGATGCGGCTAGGCTCAGTCTCGACTCGGAGGGCATGTGTGCCGATCTGTCGGCAGCTCCTCCGGGGGCGATTGTCTTGCTGCATACATCGGGTCACAACCCTGTGGGCTTTGATCCCTCGGTATCAGACTGGGAAAGGCTTGCTGAGCTTTGCAAGGAGAAGGATCTGTTGCCCTTTTTTGACAATGCCTACCAAGGATACACGTCCGGCAGCCTGGAGGAAGACGCCTTCTCGGTCCGATTTTTCGCGGCCCAAGGCCTCGAGCTCCTCTGTGCCTGCTCATTCGCCAAGAATATGGGGCTGTATGGGGAACGGATTGGTGCATTACACGCTGTGGTGAGCTCTCCGCTCGAAGTACAAAGCCTCATCAGTCAGTTTCAGGCCATCATTCGGCCTATGTATTCCTCTCCCCCCTCTCACTACGCTCGCGTTGCTGGGCTCATTCTGAGTGACCCTGCCCTCTTCGATGCCTGGCAAGTAGAGCTTCAACGAATGGCTGGACGAATACAACACATGCGAGAGCTTTTCTTGGAAGCTCTGACGCGCCACGCTTGCCCCGGAGAGTGGGGGCACATGGCGCGGCAACGAGGTATGTTCGGATTCACAGGCCTAAAGAAAGAGCACGTGGCAGCCTTGAAGAAGGAGTACAGCATCTATATGCTAGATAATGGCCGAATCTCGCTCTCTGGTTTGAATGAGAATAATGTTGACTATGTCGCACGGGCGTTTGCACATGTACTGCGCACAGAGTCTCCGCAAACAGAAACCTACTCGTGTGTACACACTGCAAGGAAAGAGGAGACTATGTCTATGTTGCCCGAATGCGAGGATCCTCTGAACACTCCGTCCGATCATAGCGTACCGCAGCAGGCACATCTGTAACTTAAAAATATAGGTTTTTGAACGAATATCGCAAAATGCTATTGAACGTCTTGTTGGATGTGTGGGGTGCGTACTTTTCTTGCTTTTTCGTTTGTACGTGCACGTTAAACTGAGGCATGCCACGTAGAATCTCAAATTTCATTTCAACATGCACTTCATACGGGTCGAGCACTTTGAACAGGAGGTTCTACAGAACCATAGGTGACTACCCGGATGACTCCAGTATCTTGGCTCGCCTTGGAGTCTCGGCGACGCGGGCAACGAGTGGCTCCCGTGACGCAGAAATTGTGCAGGAACAACAACGACGATGAATTCGATTTCTTTTCCAACATCTCTTGTGCGCTCAAACATATAACTCTATGTTTTTGCAAAGAATTTTCCCAGGAACACGTGATCATTTTCGCCGTTTGCTGCTTGTCTCCTTCTTGTGTGGTCGTAGAGATCGACTCCGAAAGACAGAACATATATCCGTCATACCTGCACCGGGAAGGAGATTCTTTCTGACCCAAAACGCATCACGTCTTTTACCATTTCCACACCTGCACGACAGTCGCACAAACTTGTCAATCTCTTCGACACCACTTTTCAATCATGTCTATGGGCGATTATCGCGTGGCAGACATCTCATTGGCGGATTTTGGTCGCAAGGAAATTCAGCTCGCTGAGGTAGAGATGCCCGGCCTCATGGCATGTCGCGAAGAGTACGGCGCTGATGCGCTCAAGGGCGCGCGTATTGCGGGCTCGCTTCACATGACGATCCAAACTGCCGTACTGATCGAGACACTGAAAGCAATGGGTGGGGACATCCGATGGTGCTCGTGCAATATTTTCTCCACCCAGGATCACGCGGCGGCGGCGGTCGCCCGCGATGAATCGGCGGCTGTATTTGCCTGGAAAGGCGAATCCCTGGAGGAGTATTGGGAGTGCACGATGAACGCTATCACGTGGCCAACTGACGACGGAAAGGGTGACGGACCCGACCTGATCGTGGACGACGGTGGGGACATGACCCTTCTGGTACATGAAGGATACAAGGCAGAGGAGCTGTACGCCAAGGACGGCACTTTGCCCGATCCCGCCTCTACCGACAATGCTGAGTTCAAGATTGTTTTGGCGTTGATCGCCCGAGAGCTGCCGAAGACTCCCCAAAAGTGGCACAAGGTAGCGGCTCGCATGTACGGGGTTTCCGAGGAGACCACCACCGGCGTGCACCGACTCTACCTGATGGAGAAGAATAAAACACTTCTCTTCCCGGCGATCAACGTCAATGACTCAGTCACAAAATCAAAGTTCGACAACTTGTACGGCTGCAAGCACTCTCTTCCGGACGGGATCATGCGCGCCACGGACGTCATGCTCGCGGGCAAGCGTGTCGTCATTTGTGGATTCGGCGATGTCGGAAAGGGATGCGCTCAAGCCATGAAAGCCGCTGGATCTATCGTTTATGTAACGGAGGTAGACCCCATATGCGCGTTGCAGGCCTCGATGGAGGGATTCCGCGTCGTCCGACTGTCCTCGGTGATCGCAGACATCGACATTGTCATCACTACCACTGGCAACAAAGGAATCATTATGGCTGAAGACATGGCGAAGATGAAGAACAACGCTATTGTTGGAAACATCGGGCACTTCGACAATGAAATTGACATGGACGGCGTGATGAAGGTAGCCAAGCGTGAAAATATCAAACCTCAGGTGGACCGTTTTGTCTTTCCGGACGGACACGGCGTTATCGTTTTAGCTGAGGGTCGACTTCTCAACCTGGGATGTGCCACTGGTCACCCGTCCTTCGTCATGTCCGCCTCCTTCACGAACCAAACGCTGGCCCAGCTTGAGTTGTGGAAGGAGCGCACCTCAGGCAAATACGCCACTGGTAAAGTCTACGTCCTGCCCAAGGTTTTGGACGAGAAAGTAGCTCGCTTGCACTTGGCCTCGCTTGGCGTTGAGCTGACTGAGCTCTCAACCGAACAGGCTGAGTACATTGGTGTTTCTGTCTCAGGACCCTTCAAGCCCGAAGCCTACCGCTACTAGATACTAGATTCCTGCGAATGCCTTCGCCTCGGAGTTATCATATCGTTCCGCCAGAAGAGAAATTTTCATCTTGTTGAACTAAAAACCCTGCGTCTGCGCGGGATGGGAATTTAGGCAAGCGAAGAAGGTTCTTGGTATAGCGTGAAAGGAAAAACGTACGAAGTCCACCTTCGATACGACTTTGAAGGCTTCAATGCAATGCTAGAGTGGGTAGAATGGTATGAGGTGTTAGAAAATAGATGGCGAAATGGCATTAAGAAGATAAACCTTTCGCGTGCGCTCCCTTAACCCTCATCAGAGCAAGTCAAATATCAACGATTCAGAGTACACATGCCTTTATCGACAAATTTTCAAGTACAAGAAGTCATTGAGAGAATAATTTGATAGTTAAAAGTGGCTTGTGCTGATTCGTAACAATGTTGTCACGCGTGGTGGGGTTACTTTTATTTGCACGTGTAGAGCTTCCGGGACGCGAGTCTGGGATGCACAGGGACATCTTTTTCCCCGCCACGCCTCTTTGTGGTCAATGTGATGAAAAACTTCATTTCAAAAGTGCAATAACTCTTTTAATGTGGTGTCATACGTGGATACGCTGTCTTGCAAAACGGGATATCATAAAGAAGGTCATAGTACCATCGAAATCGGGGAAGATATCATCTCATTGTTTTGCTTGCATGTTGCACACTATTATTGCGTTCAAATCAATTTTTACGTTGGAGGCTAGAAGCGCATGCAATGGATATGATAGAAAGTCAAACAACTATCGGATGTGAGTTCGGAGCGAGTAATGTGGAGTGTGGCAAGCAAACCGAAACATACCTCCCGCCCCCCTCAGCTTCCCACCAAGCGCTCCGTACACCACAAAAGTGCACTTACACAGTTCTTCCTTGCTCCATGCTCGTGGTTTTCAATCGTGGGCTTGTTGAGTATAGCTCTCAGCTTTTTCTTCCCGATCCCACTACGTTGGTAAGCAATGCGAATAAACCGGGCAAAGCAAATGCGGAAATGGCTGCGATTTTATCGCATCGTGTACGGCATCACTCCGCCATATAAGGTATTTATTGAATACTATTATCAATTTCGTGGCCATTTTGGAGGACTTCGCTCCCTCTAACCCTAATATGTGACAATGTCACTAGGCTAACTGGGTTTTGAAAACGTCAGACTTGCCTTAGGCCTTCTTTTGTCTTTACCTAGATCCTTGTAGATGGAAATTTTATCCACATGGCCCTAAAGGTTAAAATTGACATCAGAGATCGTCTGAAGAAGATGCTTCTGGTGGAAAACCTTGCATGCTACGCCCCTCAAGCTGTGCTGGATGAGTTGGCCGCCATGGGTCCTGACTTCAGGGCAGCACATGAGTGGGTGCAAAGCTGCTGCGATTTGGTACCAAACCCAACCATAAAGACCAATCACGATGACAGTGGAAAAAACTATGTTAGCGCAGGAGCCGCCATTTGCACCATGGTGGGAGAGAAGAACATTGACAAGTATATGGTGGCCACCCAGGACCAGGAGCTGAAGGCACGGCTTCGGCATGTGCCATCCGTCGCCCTTCTTTTCGTTTCTCGGGCAGTATTTTTAATGGAAGCACCTTCAATAAGCTCTCGTCTTTTCTCCGCGAAACAAGAGGGAGAAAAATTCCGACTATTGACTGAGGAGGAACGATGTTTGCTAGCCAGCCTCCGACACAAGGAGAAGCCGGTGTTGTCACAAGGTAGTTCCCAAGCAAGCGAGCAGCAACAGAAGGCTCTCACAAAGAGTAGAGTACGGTTGAAAAAGAGAGCAAAAGGTCCCAATCCGCTTTCAGTGAAAAAATCTGACAAGGCAAAAGTTCAAAAGGAAAGGCGGGTGCCACAGGACAAACCTGGCAGCAAGAAATATACGGGAGGCCAGAAGGGCAATGAAGTAGGAGGAGGCCACGTTAGTTGTGCGAAAAAACGGACGCGTCAGAGGAGAAAAGGAAAGCCTGTCCTAGAGAAGGAGTGAATGTGCTTGAATCAGAATTCTTGATGACTACGAAGTACAAATGTAACACGAAATCGCGCGCCTTGGTCTTGTGAGAAGTTCTAGTTTGTTTGGTTCGGGCAAAGAGTGCCTGTCCATCGGTGAGGTTAAATGTCCAAGTGCGGATCAATTTAAAATTGAGCTTCGTCATCGCTTGACCGTCGTGATTTACTCTTCTCTCCCAACAGGGATCTCATCGTAGCCCTGGATCGGATCTTGAGATCATGGCGGAGGAAGAGGACCAGGTAGGCGTCGCAGGCAGCTGCAGTCAGAGAACGCAGATCGGCATAGCTACAAGTCCCAGTCATTCGCTCCACGACTGGCATGCACTCCCGCTTGCAGATCGGCCCCGACTGGTCGATGTTCGCTCAGAGGAAGCTTTTCAGGCGCGGCGTCTGGTCTCAAGCATCAATTTACCTATCGATGACCTTGTAAACCTACTTTTTGAACTTCCAGAGCCAAGTGTAGGTCTGGCGATAGTTGCGACTAATTTGGAAGAGGGGGAAAATGCTGTAAAGTTGCTTGATAGCCGGTATTGGCATTGCATACCTTTCATTTTCGTAGAGGATGAGAGTGAAGAAAATAGTGTGTTGTGGAGATCTGCGGCGACCTTAAGGTTGCTGACGAGCGGGCAAATTTCTCCGCAAGATCGACGTATAATTTACACACCGAACCCGTTTTTAGTGTCTCATATCGACTTTGTGGAAGAGTCCTTGGCTGAAACCCATCTTGTGTCCTCATCACAAAGCTTTTATACTTGTTGTGACGTTGGCTGTGGGGCTGGGCGGGATTCTGTGTGGTTGGCGAAACGAGGACGAGGTTGGCTCGTGCGTTGCGTAGATCGTCTACCACGATGTCTAGATAGAGTTCAGCGCCTAGCATGCAGACACGGCGTGTCTAATCTCATAGAATGTGAAACGTCCCTTGTCCGAGGCGCACGCGTGCACTCTTCCTCGACCTCTCCGTCCTTCGAGACAAGAAAGTATGACTTGGTGCTCGCCATCCGCTTCTTCGAAAGAGAGTTTCTCACTTCCTTGGGTGAGATGGTGCGACCTGGTGGTGGGTTCTTGTTGTTTGTGTCGTTTGTGGCCAGAGAGGACGGCGTAGCTTATGAGCATCCGAAAGATCCGAAAAAGGTGCTTCTCGCGGGGGAACTCGTTCAGGTATTTGGAACCGGGGGAATGGGCTTTGAGACAGTAGAAAACTGCTCGCAAATTTTACCAGATGGACGCGTCATGTCGGCATACTTGGCTCGGCGATTATGATGCGACTTCATGAGTTGTCGATGAGTGAAGCTTATTCGATCTCACTTCAAACCGTGTCCCAGAAATAATGAATGAAATTTATGTACTTTTAACTCTTCCGCTTGTCAAAGAGAATTGCAATTTTTGTTAATATCGATGCAACATTTGGATACAACCCTTGCAATACTGAAGTCGCCAGTAATGCGCACAGCAACGAGAGTATATAAGCACCGATGGAGGAGTGCAGATCGCAAACACGTATCGCAAACACGTCTAGACTGTGAAATGCACTGGCCCTCAAGATTGATAAAATGATAAATTACTTCAGAATTTCCATGCAATGTAGCATTTCTTTAATATTCTTGCATCAAAACTCAGTAAGCTTGACGGTGCTTTCATTTTACCGCTGCCGGGGACCTGAATTTTAACCTCCCCTCTGCTATTATTTTGCTCACGGTGGCAAACCATCACGTCGCGCCACACTCACATCTCTACCGCATGAAAAAAGATTGGACAATGGCTCTGAACTTCAACCACACACTCAAATATGGCCGGGTACACGATCATAGGTTGGGAGGGCGTCAAAAACAAGGTAGCTTCAAGACAAGATCATGACATACAAATGCCGGGCTCTACAGGTTATCCTCGGATTATCAGGGTTTGCCACTTCCTCTGGCGTCACGTCTATGTACCAAAATCACGTATTTTCATTTATACCAGTGATAAATGGACTGCCATGCGGGCGATCCAGCCACTGTAACTCCATTTCTCCTCGTCGAGCAGTTGTGCAATCACAATACGAAGAGGTTTCACGCCTTTCTTTCCCGGACGTCCTGGAAAAAATTCGCAGTATTGGGAAAGAAGCAGCTTTTTTCTCACTCGACACCGAATTTACGGGATATCGACAGGAGGAGAGAGACGAGTACTTCGACACTGTCCAAGAGCGCTACTTGAAAAAAAAGAGAGTGGCTGAGCGCTACCTGCTGGTCCAAATGGGCCTGTCAGCTTTTGTTTGGGATAAGGCCCTAGAGGATTACAAGGCATTCACATGGAACATTCACCTATATCCATCCAAGCTCCAGAGCGAGCGCATCTTCTCCTGCGATGCTTCGAGTCTCAGCTTCTTGCGGTCTCACAATCTTGACTTCAACCTTTGGGTTGACGGCGTCCCTTTTTTGGCAATCGATCAAGAAGCCAGTCTACGCAAGCAGGTGGAGGACCAGGCAGAATGGGACCTCAAGGCAAATGCTTACGCAGGCAAGAAGCCCGCGCGAAGTAATTTTGATCCCAATGCGGATGCGGAGACGGTGGAGCTCCACAGGCAGCTCAAAGAGGCTCTGGACAAGCTTGGGCCAGGTGCGGAACCATTCCTGTTGCCGCAAAATCTATCCTGGTTCAGAAAAAAGATGGTACAGAACACAATCGGGCGGCATCCAAGGAAGGCGAATCTGTGGCTCGAAGTTATCGACCCACCAGCCGCAGAGGCGGGAGCAGGGGTGGGACCGACATCAACATCTCTTTCGGCTTACAATCTAGAGCAATTGCAAGTCCGCTATGTCGACACTGAGGAGCGAATCAAATGCGTCCAAGCGAAGAAATCCCAAGCGTTGACAGATATTGAAGAGGCTGCAGGTGCAATGCGCATTTTGAAAGTGATTAAAGATTCAGGGCGCCCCCTAGTAGGCCACAATTTTTTCCTAGACCTGCTCTTCCTCTACACGCACTTCGTGAAGCCCACTTTACCCGACACAGCCATGGGATTCAAAGCCAAAGTCCAGCATTTTTTCCCCTCGATATATGATACGAAGGTGCTGGCAAAGTCCCTGGGAGTCACCGACGAGCACGGCGACACAAATCTGGCGGGCCTCTATCGGAAAGAGGGGGGGGGGCAGGGTAGCACTTGAAGGGGTTACAGGAGCAGCGCATGAGGCGGGGCACGATGCTTTCATGACGGGCGTGATATTTTCAAGCCTTTTGCGAAGGATAAAGGCAAAATTATCGGAGAATATTAGCGACTGTGGGACGTCTCCGTCACCTCTTTCTTCTCCTTGCAGCATGCCCAGCCTCGCGTACGCTGAGAATTGGAGCAATAAGGTATTTATGCGTCTCACAGACGTTGAGAGCTTTGAGCTGCGGAACTTCAAACAAATTCCAGACCGGACTCGTGTCTTCCACGTGCGCACGCGATGCAGCGGTGCTTTGCCCCACTTGCAGCATCACCAGTTGCGCCGGGCATTCTCTTCCCTTGGCTCCGTCCAAATCAAGGCTTTAGGCAAGCATGAAGCCTACGTGGTTTTCCATGACATAACAAGGCCACCGCCGGAGGTGAGCGAGCTGAAAGAGCTTGTGTCGTCTTCGGGGGCTGAGGCAGATGAGGGACTTGAGATTGTAACGTATGAGGAGCGCCGCGTGGCGTTGGGAATTTTGTGGTGAGGACACAAGAAATCCCATAACAAAGTAATGAAAGTGGCATAGCGTATAACTTTACAAGTCTTAAACAACCTGCACAAAATAGATAACGTTACCGTTCTTGTTTTTTTTTCTACATTACTCAACCCTACGTTAAAACTTCTGATTCTGCTTATAAGGTTATGATTTGCTCCAACTTTGAGGCCTCTCCCAAAAGGCGTCATCTCGACTCCCTCCGTAATACGCTGCTAATACTGTGTCCATCACTTCACTCGTGCGCAGTGCCGACGCCCCCGTGCTGCGACACCTCCATTCGGAGATTTCCTTCATGACACTCCTACCTTGCCGGGCCACTTCCCGTGCCCTTTTCCAATCCTGCAGGTCTTCTGTCACTGCGGCGATAAGAGGAAGGTGAACATGGGGAGAGAAGTCAGGGCCGAAGTTGTCGATGACTTCGATTTCGTCCTCCTCGCCACAGCCCCGTCTTTTCAGAAAGACCGGTCCGTTATCGAATACCGAGAACTTAACACCACCATCAGCCCCAATAATCTCGATATAGTCCTCGCTGCAATGAGACGAGAAATTCCAAGAGCCAACTCCCACGGCCCCAGACCCTGTACGAAAGAGCATGCGCACTTGATCTTCTACGTGTGTCTCAACTTCATCCAAAGCGGAGTCGTAGGAGGACCCCTTTCCTTTGGTGGAGGCGGCGAGCCCTTTCACATCCTGTAAAGGCCCAAACCACCAGTCCAACAGATCCAGCATGTGGCTTCCCAGATCAAGGAAGAGCCCCCCCCCGGCCACCGAGGCGTCCACTCGCCACTCCTCACAGTCAGATCCTGAAGATGGCCGCGCACAAAATGCGCGTATCTCCGTAATGGGACCTAGTTTGTTTTTGCTTTGTAAAATATCTCTGACGAGCTCAAATTTTGGGAGATGGCGACGATAATAAGCGACAAACAAGGGCAAGTCTGAATGCTGAAATTCAGATAACATGGCGCGGCATTCAGCAGCAGAACGAGCCATGGGCTTTTCGACCAATACCGGCTTTCCCGCAGCCGCGCACAACAGTGCAAGGTCTTTATGCGTGCCTGGAGGTGTGGCCAAGTAAATTGCTTCGACGTCTAAATCTCGAAGAATTTCCCGTGCGTCCGTATAGAAGGATGCCACATTGTGACGATGAGCGAAGGATTCGGCGAGTGCTTTGTTGCGGCGCATTACAGCGACAAGACGGCAGCTTGGAATTCGGGAAAAAGCAGGGCCCGACTTGCCTTCGACAACATCTCCACATCCAATGACTCCCCAATTTAATATGTCACTAGTTGGGGTAATGGAAAATGAAGAGGTCATCGACATTGTCCGACACGAGACCTATAAGATGGGCGCCCTAGACATAGGATATGACAGCGAAATGATAAGTTGTTAATGGCAGAAATTTTAAAGCTCGACAATAAAAAGGGATTATATGGAGGGAATCAGTGAGATACGTCCGTCTCCAGGAGATGAACTTTGAAGAGGCATTTGTGATACAGCCTCGTCGTATTTGCTGCAATCATCCTTCTCAAGTACTGAAAATCCTTTTATGGAATAAGCGCATCTATTTCAACCGCTCCCTATGTATGATTTGAACCCTTCTTCGCTCAAACTTCTTTTTATGCATATGCTTCCTCGTGTACGTACGTGCTGTTCCGATCGGATCACACGATCGACTCTCCCTTTGATAAGTGTTAATTTCAGTATTTTCTCCAAAGGTTTGGGCGCAAAAATATCATACCCAAGTATATAGCAGCATCATTTTTCATCAATAAGTAAGTTTTACGAAAGCATTTCAACTTTTGGGTGGGCTACGCCATTACCCCCCCCCGCACGGGTGAATGCCCACGATTGACCTTAGTTGAAAGACGAAGATTGTGAGGGGCACGAGCAAATTATACCATTATCTAAGCTATATATTACGAGAATCGATGCTCTCCCTACGCCGACTCGCACATACATACGGTAACAGAGCGCTCTGCACCACTATCCTGCAGGTAGTGTACGAAGCCAGGAGGTTACACCGCACGCTCCTCTGTCGCCGTCCCGTCGCTCACGTCGACGGCCTCAATCGTCATATACATGTCTGAAGGCGTGACAAACGGGGTACCATCATCTTTTATTGTATGAGTCTGCCACCTAATCGATAAGATGAGTTGCATTGTTTGCTCTTGGTCGCAACCAAAGTTTATCTCGTTCGTCTTGGTGTTCATAACAAGCAAGTCAGAAGTAAGCCAGGCAGGCCTCGATGATACTGACTGCCCGAAGCATTTTCCCACTTTTCTTTTCCAAATATCGCCTCGCTCAGGAATATTTTGCGCATCGACATCAGGATAAATCACAGCCCGCTGAAGTGGATTGGATAAGGGCTGCAAGTGTAGGGTTCCGGTGATATGATTCGAGGTAAGGTTGTAAGGGATAACGGTATCGTGGACGTAGAATCACAAAGGGCGTGTACCCTACTTAAAATTACATGTTCAAATCTTCAAAAGGTGAATATCAGAAATATTGAACATATGAAGTCAATATGATGAGCTTTCCGGTCCAGCATTCTGGCTGCTCGCTACTGATTACCATGAAGTGATGCGAGGCATTTAGCATCTCGGTGTACGCATGCAGTTTACCAAACCAGAACATCATCCTGCATTCACAGGTGTGATAATTGTAAACAATCATGGGCGTCCTCGACTGGTGAAATTGTATCAAAGTGTGGTATGTATTTTCTACGTCAAAGCAATAAAAAGCTCGTATTTTTTTTTGTATGTAAACTCTTTCCCCGTGCCTGTGCACGCCTACACATTTTAATTGTGTTGCACGCGCCCCACGTCTGACGCAGACTAAGCTCTTTGTGCGATTGTCTTTCTCCTTTTAATTGATCATGTCAGATTGGTGAAGAAGCACAACAAAGTGTTATTCGCAAAGTATTCCAGCAAGTTGCACAGCGGCCGGACTCATTCTGTAACTACCTTGATGGGAGTATTCCCGAGTGGGGCGAGGGCGTCAAACTAATATACCGGCATTACGCTACCCTGTACTTTGTCTTTGCCGTCGATCAACAAGAGAGTGACTTGGGTATACTCGACCTCATACAAGGTTTGACAAACGATAGAAATCATAAATGCGAGAATCATATTCGTCTTTTTGCCCATTAGCTTATTGATGTTTAAGAGATAGTGATATTGTGTTTAATTATTTCGAATTTTATTCATTCTGGCCATTCATTGCACCTAGTTTTCGTGGAGGCTCTGGATAAATGCTTCGAAAACGTTTGCGAGCTGGATCTTATCTTTCATAGCGACAAGGTTTGTATTGTATGCGATTTCGATTCAAGGTATTTCTCCTAGTACTTTTACCAATGAAATTTTACGAAATTCAATTATTATGACATTTTTCCCAGGTTCACTACGTGTTGGACGAGATTATTATGGCCGGGATGGTACTTGAGACGAATATAATTCATATTCTTCAAGTCATCAATGATCAGAACCGTCTTCACGCGCAAAGTCAAAAAACAAGCACTTCAAGCACCAAAGTACGCACTCCAACAATCGGTCCAGCTTCTTCGGGAAGGGGAGTGCCTCGCTAGCTCTACATTTTTTAAAAAGATAATTGTGGACTCAAGAATGCTTTGCTCATAAATATTTCAAGACAGACCTCACAATTTCATTTTTGTAGTGTTTGAAGATTCCCCCGGAAACTTTGACCTATTTCTTAGGAGATCGACTGGTAGTAGTCCTCTGCGAAGCAGACATGTAAATTTTCAAATGCCTTGGGAGCAAAGTGCTATTAACCACATCTTAATGATATGGATGCTGTCTTGACCACATCTTAATGACATAGATGCTTTCTTGTCCAGTAATTTAAACAGGACCAAATCAACAATCTCCAAGTTTCGTACCAGTCTTCCTAGTCATGAAACCCTTTTAAGAAACATCTCCATCAAAACCCCAATGATTTTTCTTTGCTTTTCCCCTTTTTAAGCATTTTCAACTCTTCTTGTGAGCAGAAAATGGAAAACTCATGAGAATGTTGGAGTAAGATGATGGAGTTTGTGGAATTTGGCCGCATAGGAGGGTGACATTTTTGAACGCCACTACATGTTTTTGTGTTCTGATAACAGGCACTTTCATTAAGAATAAGTCCAACTCATTCTCTTGGAGCTACGAGAAAAGTTGTTTCAGGGTGCATATATCTAAAGTGTATTGTCTTGTTATTAATTTCCGTTGAACTGAATCACACAAAGCAGAGATGTCTCTCTGGTGTTCACGACCCCTTTTCTTTCATAGATGCATCATGCTTGTCTCCAATAATACGTTTACAAAAGTCGATAAGGTTTTCGTAATCGTTCCGTTCCGGCTTCGTATTCGCAAATGGAAGATTTGTCCATCTTGCTTTGCGATCGAAGAAGTATTTACCTGTCTTTTTTCCACCCTTATCAGAAGCTGCCAACCAAACTATCGTATCTGCACCCTGAGACTCCGATCGCAAACGTTTGCTCATGAGCCTTAAAAGATAGTGTGTTAAATGTTGTGAGCAGGAATTGGTTATGAAAAGCACGCGCTTCAACTTTCGTGCCATTCGACAATCTATGAATGAATTCCCATGTAGTGCTTATTTTGTCTGCTCGTCAAGCGACGAGATTCGCGCAGAATTCGGTTGCTAGCAGAAAATCCCACACTCATCTTTCACATTCTTTAATCGACGTCATGACTTGAGTTTTTTCTATGATACAGCGACTCTTCCATTACTTACTTATAAAATCCCTGCATTGGGCCGGCCGACCGAAGCAAAGGCGTATCAACCCAACCTGGATGAACGGAGTTAACTACGATCTTTTCGTGTTTCAGCTCATCAGCCCAGATTTCCGTAAGCATAACTCGCGCTCGATGGTGCTGAGAGTAGACAGCTGCACCATCATAGGGACTAATATTTTCCTCCTCCTCTAGACATTTTAACTTGAATTGGGATGCTAGCATACCAGCGGAAACGACATTTATAATACGGGAAGGTGCATTGAGCTTTAAAACAGGAAGAAGGCCGCGAGTAAGACCATAAAAGCCCAGCAAATTGGTAGCCTGAGCGAGCTCGAACCCTTCTGATGTCAACATTCGCTCACTTTGCATAGTGGCAGCATTATTGATAAGCACATGCAAAGGCTTGCCGCTCGCTGCGAATTCATTCGTAAATGTCTGAATTTGCTTTAACGAAGACAGATCAACCACATGTAGATGCACGTCTTTATTTCCTGTAACGGATTGAATATCCGTGACTGCTCGCTCCCCTTTTTCCCGGGACCGGCACAATATGTGAACGGTGGCCCCGAGTTCCGCCAAAGACTGAGCTGCACTTCTGCCTATACCAGCATTACCTCCGGCAATCAGCACGACTCGTCCTCTCAAATTAACATCCAAGTCTTCCTTGTCGAAACAAAGGGAACGTGCCTTGAACCCCAACGAGGTATGAGATGGGTCTAGAAAGTAGAAAAGCATCCCTAAGCATAATTGAGAATCGAAAAGATATAAGAAGGGAATGCTTCAGCTCAAAATTCACTTCATGCTCCCTTTATGTATGATCTAATTATAATTGATCAATGCGATTCTGCCCAGGGAACAGAGGCAGCCACAAAGCATTCTGTTGTCTTCATCCACCTACCCGGCACGGAATATGTATAATCCGGCAGATGCTTGCCGATAAACTTGGAGATCATTATGTCAATCCTGAAAGCAGTAACAGCAGGAATGAATGAGGTGATGATTGCCAGCAACAGTAAGACCAGATACTGGACTAGGCGCATGCGACGGCAGCATCCACTGGAGGCACCTCAGGGTATATCTTTGCTTGCAATCGCACGCAGATGCTCGACCTTGCCCTCCTGTGATTAAACCCCAGCTTTAATATTGGTGTGTTAGAATCCATGAGGTGTCACACTGTTTAGGTGGCTTTGAAAAGACTCCCATCTCGTAATTGAACAGGAGGTCCACAAAAAGTTCCTTCGAGACAGACGTTCGCCTCTGCTCGCTGCTTGAAGCTGGACAGTCAAACAACGTCACCGCCGCGAAGTGATAAACACTTACCACTCATACAATTAGTTACAGGTAAGCTGGTGCTGACAAAGCGCTTTTTGTGAAACAAAAAAACAATGACATGGTCATGCGCGCGCTTTAAATAATTTGCACGAGCTGTTTGTGATGGGGCTCTCGGCTCTATCATGCGCTGCAGGAAGGAAACGAGGGCGGGCATCCGAGAGGGATGAACTGAGTAGGGCGGAGGCCGCTCTCTGCGGAGCCGCGGCAGGAGGTGCCTCACGCATTCTGACGGCACCCTTCGACGTGCTCAAGATTCGATTTCAGCTTCAAGTTGGTTCCATCGCGACGGCTCTTGATCGGCAACGACTGGCATATCGATCCGTGCTCAGCTCCCTCCGAAAAGTAATTACGGAGGAGGGAGTCATCGGGCTCTGGCGTGGAAACTTGGCGGCAACCTATCTGTGGATTGGTTACGGAGCAGTGCATTTTCCCGTTTACGAAGCACTGAAGGTGGAGCTCGCAGGCCTGCCAGCCTTGGCACCAGTCGCCTCCTTCCTGGCAGGCGGGCTCGCAGGCCTGGCTGCCACTGTGGCGACTTATCCTTTCGACGTGATCAGGACGCAATTTGCGGCACAGGGCTTGCCTCGCGCGCATGAGACGATGGCGTCATTCGTTGAGTCGACTCTTCGGAGAGAAGGCTTGCATGGCCTCTTCTTAGGGCTGGCACCCACGGCGCTCCAAATCTTCCCCCGGATGGGTCTCTCCTTTGCGCTCTACGAATGGCTCTCCGGACCCTACCAGAGCGGTGAACAGAACAAGAAAGCGCCGGGGAAAGCCGAGAGAGAGGCGGGCGGCACCGAAGACTGGTGGGAAGATGTCCAGCGAGGGTGCCGCAGCGCCCTCTATGGAGGGGTCTCGGGGGGCGCCGCGCGCGTGGCCGTGTACCCGCTGGACACGCTCAAGCGGCGCATGCAAGCTCAGGTTCTCCGCCTCCTCCCTCCAAGCGCCGGAACGGAGGCGGCGGGGCAGACTCATCGGTTCCGGTCTTCCCGGGAATGTCTGAGGCACATGGTCAGGGAGGAGGGCTTCTCGGCGCTCTACAAGGGCATGATCCCCACGCTCCTCAAGTCCGTCAGCTCTACCGCCATCATCTTCGGCGTCTATGAGGCACTGAAGCGGCGTTTCTTGCTGGGGCCCGGGCAATGACAAGGGTGGCGGGGGGGAGGCATTGTGGAAGTGACTGCAGACCCCCCGAGGGCGAGAAAACAAAGCAAAGCATGTAAATTTTCCAGGATTTTACGCATAAATTTTGTGCTTTACTTGTCATGAATGGTTACTCATGCGGTTTGCTCCCAATCTCTTTCCTGTCTTTCTCTTTCCGCTTCTTCTTGTCTCTCTCTCTGGTATGCGCCGCGCGTGGTGGGTGAGTGCGTCGCCGCGAATCCTTCTTTTCCTTCTTCTCCTTCTCCTTTTCTCTTCTCTTTTTCTTCCGCTTCCTCCCCTCTTTCCCCTCCTCCTCGTGGCGAGCAAGCTCAGCAGCGAATCGACCACAGTCCTCGAGCGCGCCTGCGAGAGGACGATAACGCGAGGGGAGAGGGATGAGCCACGGACGCGGTCCTTGGCCGGGGGATCCAGCTCATGACGGAGTCCCGGCGCCCTTCTCCACCCGGCCCTCTGACCAACCCAGCAATAACCCCCGCCCCCTCTCACCTGCCGGGCCGTCCGCTCCCTCGGGGCTCCTCGTCCGCGGAGAAAGAGGCCGCCTGCCGCCCTCGCTTCCTCTCACTGCCCGGCTCCCCTTCTTTTGCTGCTCGTGCGCCCGCCAGCAGTCCGCCTCCTCCTCGCGACGGTTGTGCTGTGAGACGCTATATATATACGAAGAGAGGTCGTTATCGGATCACGCGTGGAGGATCCTGCCTGCTCAAAATATCTCTCCGACTTCCTGGTGTGGCTCCCTATGCCGACTCCCTAAGGATGCATAGCAGGACAGCAGGGCTGCGAGAAACGTCCTTTTCATTCATTTTATCTCATTCATTTTCATTGTGCCACGTTCCGCGTGAAATGTTACGTGACCTCCCTCCCGCACAAACGATGAGGCGAAAAATACTTCCCCCATCCATATATTCTGAGAAAATCAATTTTACCTTCTAATCGTGTTAACGAGGAAGCCCTTGTTGATGCCGGGCTTCCTATGCTCGGCCTTACTCTCGAACTAGTGCATTATTCAGGGGCAGTAAATTCATTAGCGATGCGTGGGTGTGACACAGAGAGGAGACGACAAGCGAGTCAACAAGGGGGCAGCTTACCGCTGATTCCCCTGTGGAAAGCTGTCCTCTGCCGCCCGCTGCTGCCTACTTGAAGGTACGAATATGCATGAGAAGTCCCCATCCAGGCCAGCTTTTTTGAGAGTGCACGGACCTCGAGGGCGGCCAGGCGCGCAAGCCTGTCGTCCAAAGGCCTCGCCAGCCCCGAGACGCGGGCCATGGCATTGCTGACAAGGGAGTAAGCGCCATCAACGCCTCGTGTGGCGTTTGGAGGGCATCGGGAGCGCTTCGCCATCCTTGTGTGCTCACTGTGCTGTCAATGGCGTCCGTTTCGAAGAAGTAATAGTGAAGACATTGCTCTTGTTCCTCAGCGTCAAATGAACCTCCCTCCTCGTCGTCGTCGACGATCGCTCCACACCTCTAGAGGCTGCATTACATTATTGTTTTTGCTTTTTTGACATCAGGAATTTATTCTCCCCCTCCACATCACGGAAAACACCGTCATATTTCTTCTAGCTACTTACACAGGTGAATGGACCCCATTCTCTTCCTGTCTCGGGTTTTAGAACTGCAAGAGTGCCCTTCCTCTTGTTCAGTATCGCCATTTCCTTCGGGCGAGCGTGGCAATTGTACAGGTCAACAGGATCCTCAACTGGTCGACGAGAAGCACTCAACGGGCTCGAACGAGATAGCACAGTCTGCTGTGCTGAAACTTGCGTCAGAGCTGCTATATCACGAACCGGGCTTCCTGGAAGGGGCTGTTGAGGTGAGGAGATTGTTGGGACATTTTGTATACTCCTTTCTCACCGCTGGTCAAACAGGCGTTGGACCGGGCGCCAGTACGTCGTATCATCACGCGACAATATCGACGATGCCTCCACTTGGTGAAAGGGTGAGTGAGCCTGCGAGGAGGAGGTAATCACCATTGTTCTGCCTCTCAATTTCAGTCGTCAATGGACAGGCGAGACCGAGCCGAATATACGGTGCTCAGTGGGCGCGACTGTTCCTGCCAAAGCTTTCACATAATGCAGCAGAGATCCCTTAGGCCACGGGTATGTCAAATAATACACTGCGCTTCTTTCGATTGTTTCTCCTTTAGGTTTCTCCACCATCTGCACGTATCGCATGTCGCCTGGGGCCTTTCCATTTCAAATACCCAGACACGCGTTCTTTGGACCAGGCTCATGGGATTCACTTTTTACCTTCACATAGTGCAAACATGTCTTGGCTGTACACCTTGCTCCGTTTCTGGGGCGGCTGGAGGAGCGCGTGGTGAATGACGATCTGTATGAGGCCTACGTGACCCAGTGAGGAAAGAAGCAGGGGGGCCGCGTGTAGATGGCCCTTGCTTTCGCTTGGTAGATTGAGGAAGAGGCGCATGCAAGTGACTCTACTGAGCCAGGAGGAGAGCCATGTTGTCCCCTTGCGGCCTTCAGCACTCACGGCTGTCGGGACAGGGATGTAATGGGATAGCCGCTGCGATACCGGTAGCCGAAGGAGAAGGTTGATGCAGGATTGAAAGAGCCCGTTTAAGTTGAAAAGAAAATAGGAAAAGGGGCTCTAGAAAGGAAATTTTCGTCGCCGGGAGCGCCTGAGGGGCGTAGTGCAGCACGAGGTCGAAAGAATGTACATTTACTGCGGGTGCTTGATGACAAGAAAGAGCATCATCGTCTCTCTCAGGCGGAGCACGCGCTTGTAAGAATCGCTCACCTGTTACGACGGAAGCTTCCAAGCAATTTCTTGGCATCGGCCAAGGAGTACTTGGCAGCACCGGTCTGGCGCAAAGCACCGCTCCCACAATCGCTGTAATTAATGTCAGAGCTGATGCTTGTCGTGCTTTCATTTGCAGACTGGTAGGAAGGATAAAAGGAGAGAGTTTTGCCTGCGCCATTTTCTTTCGTTGTTGGCTTTGTTTCTGGTGCGCAAGCGCAGTGCAGAGTGTGGGGTTCGCTCGTCGAACTTGAATTATTTGTGTGGCCGTGCAAGCGCCTTCGTAGCCCAGCCATGGACGTATCTAATGCCGATATGATCGCCCGCGAGGCGACGTGCAACGGGCTATATGTAACATCATCATCTCCTGTCAGCCTGGTACGTCTCGACGCCTCAATGTACCACATCTGCTTGAGCGCCCCCTTGCGGCGTTCTTCATCGCGGCACTCACGGGATGTAGCCTCTGCGAAGCGAAAACGGGTTAACATTTCCCGTACAGTAGCCATAGCTATTGACCGCCAGTTTTGAAGGCCCCCCAAGAAATTTTTCTGAAATATTCCACAACGTCGTAATATGATACTACCTCCGAAGGACAATTTGCCATTGCGTTTGGAAGAAATAGGATGTCAAAATGTTGTAACAGCACTATAGATTTAAATGTTTGATATACAAATCGACGATAATGGTGCCTGAGCATGCACGAAAAAAAGGTTATGGGCCAGGCATGGACGAAGACGCCGGATCTGCTGCATCTCGGGAGCCGTCACTGGCTTTATTGACGGACAAAGCCCATGACGCGCCTAGGTGCTTAATCGCATTGCAGGCGATCGCCTCACCACAAGCCACATCAACATCTGCCAGACATGGAAAGCTCGCATTCATTAGCTGTGGCAGGCATTGCCGATGGTGACGGGTGTTGCTCGCCCACGTCTCCTTTCACCTCGTGTTCTTGTTCTTCACCCCCTGCCCCCGCACGCCTCCCGCCCTACTGCTCCCCTTCTTTTGCCCCTTATGCTCGTGACTCACCGCGCACGTGTCGCATGCTGCACCACTTGATACAGGAGAGCACCGCTTTCCCTCCCTTCGAGCGCGATGGCGCCAGTTTCTTCACGGGGCATCAAGAGCTTCGACTTCTACCGTAAAGTGCCTCTGGACCTCACCGAGGCGACTTGGCATGGAGGTCTCGTCTCAATCCTAGCCATGTAGGTGTGCCCCACGTATTGGGAGAGGAAGATGCACACAATTCTTACAGTGTTTACCGTTGGGGGAGACTTTTCCGTATCACGTCGATGACATTTTTTTTAAATAAAGGGACCCATCAGGCTCACCTCATCGCTTTACTTTTCTACAGCCTTTTCATGCTTAGCCTTTTTGTAGTCGAGCTTTCTTCCTTCATTGCCTCCACTACCCATAGTACCGTCGTCGTGGACTTTAACAGGGATCAACAAGTACGAATTGCAGCCGGAAGGATGGGGAGGGGAAGAAAGTATGAAATCTCATCACAATGTGTCGGTCCCGCTCCGAGATCGGGCTCTGTCATCCCCTGCTTAATCCCCTCCTACTGTCCGAACCCTGTAGATTCGTATCAACTTCAACATCACCATGCTTGA